CATCTGTAAGACAAAATTGACTCATCTTTTTAGAACAGTTGATTTGATTGAAGCAAAAACAGATCATTTTTAAAAGTACATACTAAATTAAGTAAATTCACTAACTCTTGTAACAACTTACTATTATCAACACCAGATTCAAAGGGGTATTATATAAACTGAAAATCAACTCTAAAACCCATATCAACAAATCATTCTTCAATTTTTCTCCTAGATTTTTCAGCCAACTTACTTAATGCTATTAAAATAAAAATCTCCTGCATATTCATGTTGCAAAATGTATAACACTATTATTGATTTATGTTATGAGTAGTTTATATCTTAACACAAATTCTCATACCTGTCTAGCTAGGTCACAAATAAGCTTTTTGTTTCCTTGGGTCTTTAAATTTAGCTCATTCATGTGTACTGTGATGTAGGTGAAATAATGTAAATTACACTGATATTTTCTCTTTGAATATTGAATATTGGCAAGTGTTTCTTTTGTTTCAAGAAAATCTTGAATTAGATAGAGTTAGCAGTACAGTAAATCTTTGTAAAACTCTTCCGTGACTCAAGTAATGAACATTGGCATGGAACATGTGGTCATTAAATTCATTATCTTCTATTTCTTTTAGTAGTTCCATAAACTGGTGATGATACATAGCATTTGCACATAATACTGGACAATTTTAATAACTGCATCCATGATACTGTCTACTTCAGAGCACAAATATTTTCACTATGTCATCATGTAATGGAATAAATATAATAAGGGAAATAATTCTAGTAAATCCATATTTTGATCTCACATTCTGGCCCATTGTCTCTGTCTTGATAGGAAACTTTTTTCCTATCTAGCTGAAAGTAACAGATATAAAATATTTTAAAATATCTACAACATGAGAGCGATTATTTCTCAGTTTGCAAATGGATGAAGATATTTCTTCATAAATTTGGAAGTCATTTGAGGCAAAAAAAATACCCCAAGTATTAATTATCTAGTATCTCTAGCTTTGTAAAACTCATCTAAAGCTAAAATTAAAAATATTTACAATTTTTCAAATGTTGAATTGATTGATCTTTAGTATTGTTAGGTCCTTTTATTCACTCATAGTTTATTGGTGGGTCATTTGAAGAACTTTCACTTCTTGTAAATTATCCTTTTTACTATTTTTCTTAGATTAAAAAAATGTTTTTAAATGTTTTTATTGATTCTTTAGAGAGAGGAAGGGAGAGGGGGAGAGAGAAACATCAATGAGAGAAGCATCAAAATTGATTGGCCGTCTCCTGCATGTGCCCTACTAGGGATCGAGCCTGCAACCCAGGCATGTGCCCCATCTGGAATCAAACCAGTGACCTCTTGGTGCATAGGTCAATGCTTACTCACTGAACCACACATGCAGGGCTTTCCTCAGATTTTTAAACATAATTTCCTTAACTGAAATAATAATTTAACTTTTAATCTTTCCATATGACAATGTTTTTCTTTCTTCTGTCACAGAAGAATTCAAGCCATTTTATACCTGGCCAAAATTATAAGCTTAATTTCTTCAATAATCATTTTAAAAAGTTGTATATTTTATTCTGATTTCATTGATTGTGACTAGTTTCATTTATTTATTTTTTTGTCTGTTGAGAGGCAACTTATCAAATTAATGTGCATTTGCTGAAAATGACTCTTAATATTGTTTATTTTATTATCCTAAAATTTGTTTTTTACACAACTAATTTATTTTACTCTGCTGTAGCAAATTATAATTGCCATTCTTTGTAAAATTTGTGACATACCTTCTCCATTTAATTCTGCCTCATTAGTGTGCCTTCATTTGAGAGTTAAAATTTTCTTTCATGCTTAATTTTTAAGCTAGGAAAATAATTTATGTTATAGTTAAAATAGTATTTTGATTTTACTACCAATTATAATTTACATAGAATATCACTGTAACTTGTGCTGTCTGCATAAAATATTCAAATAAACACATTACAGTGCTGCATCCTTGCAAGGAAAAATAATCTCAATGGAATCATTCTGTTGACACAAACTAGATCGGTGATCTGCCTATGTATAATTCTAGAAACGACATACCCATCAGGTACGCTGCAGTGCATCTCATGTGATGTAATAAAAGTGAACTATAGTGCCCTGGCCGTTTTGGCTCAGCGGTTAGAGCGTCAGCCTGCGGTCCTGAGAGACCTGGGTTCGGTTCCCGCTAAGGGCATGCACCTCAGTTGTAGTTTGTTCCCACCCCTGGTTGGGTTGTGTGGGAGACTCAATGTGTTCCTTTCAAATCGATGTTTCTCTCCCTCCCACTCTATCTAAACAAAAATGTCCTTGGGTGAGGATTAAAAAAAAGAAAAAAAAAAAAAAATGTGAACTATAGTTTCCTCCAAACCACAAAATTGTGTTAATGGAAAAATATTTTATACTGTTTCATTTGGGTAAAATTTTATATTAATTACAATTTAAAAAAATTAAAATTCAGTTCCTCTGTTGCATTAGCCATATTAACACAACTCAAGAGTCTGCAGCAGCTTATTCACTCTGATGATAAAAGTTCGGAGAGATAAAACTACTAAACCCAATTAAGCAAGATTAGTTGGAATAGACAAAGCCAAAAGTAAGTTTGTATTTCAATATATGAAAATGTGACTTTAACAAATGTAAAGTAATTTTGTATCCTACCTGAATTCAAGTCACACCAAAAAGATTTAATAAGGAAAAAATCAGTTACTTCATTTAATTTGAAACAGTTTGTTTCTTTAAACAAAGCAACCACTGTTTATGGAGGTTACACTTTTATGAAGGTGAAGGGGTTCAATTTTCAATTAGATAGTAGGACAACCTGTTAATACATGAAAAGTGATCTATATTTCCTCTTAGACTTCATTTACCAGATGAACACTAGCATTTGGAGCTGTTTTGTTTTGAACAGAATATTGTTTTATCTGAAATACATGTATAAATATATACAAACATAAAATGAAAATGCAAGAAGGAATTAGAGAAACACTGCATTTTCCTTCTTCAGTGAATGCTGGAGGTTCATGGAGGAACCAAATGTCCTAAGCCCAAATTTAGACAGAGTAGACTTGACCCTCTTAACATCTATCCTGAGAGGAAGCAAAGAATGAAAATTTTTCATTTATTTAATTCCTTTACATATTTGTCATAAAACTGATAATTATTCTCCTGGCATTACTGGTATTTGATCAAAGAGAAACAGCCTAGGACATAAAAGGTGGCTTTTTTTTTTTTTTTTATCCTCACCCGAGGACACTTTTCCATTTTTTGTACAGATAGAATGGGAGGGAGAGGAAGAGAGAGAGAGAGAAACATCGACGTGAAAGGGACACATCGAGTGGCTGCCACCCACACGACCAACCAGGGCCGGGGACAAACTGCAACCGAGGTACATGCCCTTAGTGGGAACTGAACCCGGGTCTCTCCGGACCGCAGGCCGATGCTCTAACCACTAAGCCAAACCGGCCAGGGCAAAAAGGTGGCTTTTGTTATTTGTGGAAATGTTAGGGTTTGACCCTGGGAACTTGGACAATAGATTAGAGACACTTGATTGACAGCATGGGTAGTCAATTAATGGGGGGCAGGGGGGATGTAAATTATTACATATATAATATTTTAAAGTTTTCAAAAGCATTCACTTAAATTTTACTCCAGAGAATAAAAGACACAAGCCATGCTTTTGTGTGTAATCCTGTTTTATTTTATTTTTTTAGTTATTTTGCCTCGTTCTCTTAATTTTTTTATAGATTGGTTTCAGATACATAGAAATGATTTTGGATTCTGCTAAAGATGACCTAATTTTTTTTTTTTTTTTACTCCTCACCCGAGGACATTTTTCTATTTTTTGTTCAGATAGAGTGGGAGGGGGAGAGAGGAAAAGAGAGAGAGAGAAACATCGACGTGAAAGGGACACATCGAGTGGTTGCCATCTACACGACCCAACCAGGACCGGGGACAAACTGCAACCAAGGTACATGCCCTTAGCGGGAACCGAACCTGGGTCTCTCTGGACTGAAGGCCGGTGCTCTAACTGCTGAGCCAAATAGGCCAGGGCAAAGATATGACCTAATTTTTGCTAATTGTTATACATTCAGAGTTTTGTTTGCTCAGAATGGCAGTATTATTTTCATTATTCCTTGGTAGTTAGAATAGGTGGTTTTATAGCCAATATATTTTTTTGAAAAGCTGCTATTCAAAAGAATATATTGGTACTAGCTCGTAAGTTGTTTTTGTTAAAATTGGTCTTATCCCAGGAAAAAAATTGAATGCTAATGTATAAGTTAAAGTTTATTATGTGTGATTTCCTTACATTATTTGGTTATTGACTTTCTAAAGCATGCGCGTGAACACACACACACACACACACAGTATCATTTTAAAAGAAAACCTTAAATATCTTCCTTCAAAGCAGTTACCAGTTTTCCAAAAGATGTAGCTACTGTTTTATACTTTTGTTTTGTAGCACCTCAGGATGAAAAGATTCATTCTTAACCATCTGAATTCAATTTACTTTAATTAAATTATGCTTCAAATGTATAGTTTTATCTTTAGTGTTTTTATTCAACTATCCCTACAGGTTAGTTACGTTTTCCCTACTTTTCATTTAAATCTCTCCCTCCAACTTCCCCATTAATTTGAGTTGGGCAGTATCACTTTAAAGCTTTATGAATTGGTGCTTTTTATTTCATTTTCCATGTATTATGCACTTCTAAAATAAATGTAATACGTGTAGCAGTTTATTTCGCTTTTGAAAGAGGAATCGAGCTTTTGAATAAAAATGTGAAAAGAAACTAGTATTCATTGCCTACGTGGCTTTTTAAAAAGGCTCATAAAAAACATTCCATTGTGGGTTCCAAGTCCTCTCTTTAAACTCACCACCAACAGAACTGCCTGCAGAGCCATGTGATCATCTTGGCAGCAGCCAGGCCTTTTAGTGATTTCATTACTGTGGTTTCCTCAAGCTCTTTACACAGATTGATGAATATTTTTCTTGCAGTTATCGCTGTGATGATTTTGTGGTTAATGACACCAAGCTGGGACTGGTACAGAAAGTCAGAGAACACTTACAAAACTTGGAAAAGTAAGTAATAGGCCTTGGGGAAAAAGGATTGATTGGGGTTTAGAGGTCTTTCCGAATTTTTGAGTGGGATTTTTGTTTATGAGTTTCATAACTTCTTCATGTTTTTAAAGTGATTGAAATGTTAATAAATAGGCTTTGGGTTTGGATATCTGAAACTATGCCCATAGTTAATGGTCATATCTCAGCATTTATTTCATTTACTATTTGTCATAAACCATATCTAAGGGCCCCAGGGCCTATTTTTCAGTTATAACCCACCGACTGGTAAGCTACAGTTTTTTGCAAGGGGCATTTTGGGGGTGCAAGGAGAGGCAGAAGGTGATATAAAATCATTATACAGTTACCTTTGATATTAGAAAATTCTTATCAAATGTATTAGAAGGTCTTAGAAGCGCTAAAGTTTATGCATTCTTTTTAAGGGAAATTAGATTTAATTTATGTTGCAGTCCACTTTTCATCTATGTGATAGCATAAGATCTTAATTTCTTTTCCTTTTTTAAAGGACAGTATGTATCACTTGAAATTATAAGAAGCTGTGAAATGCTTTGTCATGAATAGAATTTTTTTGCTGTAGCCAGAGAAGCCATTCACATAAAACTTACTGGACTCAAAATTCAAGCAGTTAAACAAAAATCCAAATAGCAGTGCCTTTGAAGCCACGGTGGAGAGAAGCAAAGCCCTGGAATCACTGCTGACTAAAGTGAAATCTGTGTAAATCCTCCCAGTCATCGGATGCCATCTAATTTATTTATGTATTTTTTACCTTTTTTTGTTAATCCTCACCTGAGAATATTTTTTCCGTTGGTTTTTAGAGAAAGTGGAAGGGAAGGAGGGGGGGAGGGAGAGAGAGAGAGAGAGAGAGAGAGAGAGAGAGAGAGAAACATCTATGTGAGAGAGATACATCAATTGGTTGCCTCCCGCAGGTGCCCCAAACAGGGCTGGGGATGGAACCCAACACCTAGGTACGTGCCCTTGACTGGGAATCAAACTTGGGACCCTTCGGTATGCAGGCTAATGCTGTAACCACTGAGCACACCGGCCAGGGCAACCATCTAATTTATTGTGGCAGTTAAAGTATAAAAGGTATTATGAGAATATGCCAAAAGCAAACTTAAATGTAAAACCAGTAGAGTATTTTAAATTTTGTACCAAGAGGAAATAACCTTAGTTCTTCAAATGAAACACTGTATAGCTTTGGTCAACCAAAATCAGTATGCATGTCTCTGACTAAATAGATTATAAAGGTGATAAGGGAAAAAGAACTGATTTTTTTTTTTTAATCTTCACCCGAGGACATTTTTTCCATTTTTTGTTCAGATAGAGTGGGAGGGAGAGAGAGGAAGAAAGAGAGAGAAACAAACATCGATGTGAAAGGGGCACATTGAGTGGTTGCCACCCGCACGACCCAACCAGGGCCAGGGACAAACTGCAACCGAGGAACGTGCCCCTAGCAGGAACCGAACCTGGGTCTCTCTGGACCGCAGGCCGATGCTCTAACCGCTGAGCCAAACCAGCCAGGGCAAGAACTGATTTTTTAAAAATAAAAACTAATTCAAACATTTTGAGTTTAAGTCCTTTATGGCTTGTCATGTTTTTTTGGCTTTTTTCTTTTTCAAAGAGCTTCTTCCCTTATTTAGAACAAACCAGCCAGAGCCCTATCTAGGTTTAGACAGATCCAAAATGTTTAATTTTGTCTGAAATTGTCACATTTAACTGTGAAGTAGGCCCTGGCTGGTTTGTTCAGTGGTTAGAGCATTGGCCTGCAGACCGAGTCAAAGGCATGTACTTGGGTTGCAGGTTTGAACCCTGGCTTGGGTCGGGCCCTTTGGGAGGCAACCAGTTGAGGTGTCTCTCTCACGTTGATGTTTCTCTCTCTGTCATCCTCCCTCCCTCCCTCCCTTCCACACTATCTGAAAATCAATGGAAAAGTATCCTCGGGTAAGCAACAAAATAACAAAAAATCAAAACAAAAAAATCCCAACAATTGTGAAGTAGGAGATTCCTGAAGTAATTTATGTAATACCACTCTTTGGTGTGGTTATGTCATTGTAAAGATCTTATTACTACATTGGTTCTTTGTTAAAAAAGTGGGTAGCTACCAGAATATTTTTTCTCTAAGAAAAGACTGCCATCTAATCCCAAATAAATTCATTAGAACCAAGTCAAAGGGAAAATAACCGCATTTATGCAGTTATCAGATCTTTTATTTCCATTGACCACTTCATTGGGTTAAAGATGTTACTGACCACCTTGTCTACACTTCTCCTTAGCCCACTGAAAAATATACCTTGCAGCCCTTTTCCTGTGTTGAAAAACATTACCTAAGTTCATTATAATGTTTTTAAAACATAGGCTTTAATCTATAATGGAAGTTATAATTTTAAAACTATTTTTACATATGTGTTTTGCTTAATTTGAGACTTTCTTGCAAATTCTCTCGAGCAGCACTGTGTAGTAGAACTTTCTGAAGTGAAGGAAATGTCCTGTAATCTGCACTGTCCAGTATGGTAGCCATGTGGCTACTGAGTACTTGAAAAGTGGTTTAGTGTGGCTGAAGAACTGAATTTTAAAATGTATTTACTTTTAATTTATTTAAATATATGTAGCCACCTGTAGACAGTGTGGATCTAGACGATTCTGTCATTTTGAGACTCGTTGATGGTAAAATTTTAATAACCTCTATTTTAAAAAACTAAATGTTTTATGTAGGTTGAAGGTAAAAGTTAGCTATTAGGCATTGTCTCTAAGTAGTATATATACTATGCTTGTGATTCAACTTCTTTACTTACAGAATTTGTGAAGGAATAACTTAACATAGTAACATACAGAACTAGTCTCTTCTTATCTTGTAGCCACCGATACCCTGAGGGCCATACAGTTCTGAAGACATGTTTCCTATGAGTGTTTTTAGATTTGAGCAACTGACTGTTACTAGATCTGATGCTCCAAAGACATAGCTCATCTGGAAATTCTGGATAGAGAAATAATTATGTGTTTACTGTGGATAAGCCTAGTATTTTCAGAAGATAGGAAAGAATTGGCAGACTTAAAAGTCTTTGTTGTTTAATGATAATTTTACCTCCTTTAGATCAGTTCTCCCAATGCATAATAATTTTAAAGTGACCCTTGGAAGATAGGAATTACTTCCTGATAAATTTTAAGCAAAATATCTCTTTTATCAAGAAAAATTTAAATAATTTAAATTCAGAATTTCTTTGCTAATTAGGATTTGTTTTAGAATAGCCTTTGTAGCATAGCTGGATCAAATAAATTTATATATGTCTATAGTTTATTTATCATTTCACAAACTCAGATTATATCATAACCTGTTATAACAATTGAGCAAAACATGATACCTTTATCAAAATTAGGAAAGGGGTAGCATAGTATTTGAGACTTACTGATATGTCTCAGAATAATCATGTCAGACCAGGGTTTTCCTTTTGTTATGAGGAATGGCTATTCTCCTTTTTGAAACTTCACCATTAATTAGACAGATAGGGTGGTGGTGGAGAGAAATCATCTCCCAGTCTTTATCTGCCTGGCCAGCTTTTCTTGGAATTACCTGGTGGTGGCAGCTTCCAGTCTCACCCTCCTGAAGGGCAGTGGGGATTTTCAAGGGAAGTGGACCTTCTCAGTTACTTTAATACTTGTAGGCCACGGACCTAATGGGTCATTTCCTAGCCTGACTAAGCAGCCAGGCAGACCTCCGTTCCCCAGACACTGAGAACAGCTAAGTTCATTCTAAAACCTGCTGTGTAGTCTCTATGTATTAATGTCTTTTTGACTGTCTATTTGTTTGTGTTTCAATAGCTCAGCTTTTACAGCTGACAGACATAGGAAAAGAAAACTTTTGGAAAACACATCACTAAACAGCAAGTTACTAAAAGTAAATGTAAGTAATTAAAACTTATTCAAATATAAGAATTGGTTGAGATCTAGTCACTGCTTTATTACAGCTTTAACAATAATGTTGTTCCTTCAAGCTTTTATGTGTATACCTTAGATTTAGAATATTTTACAGAAAGTTTGCCACTTGTACTAATGATTTTTTAATCCTCACCTGAGGATATTTTTCCATTTATCTTCAGATAGTGTGTGTGTGTGTGTGTGTGGGGAGTTGAGAGAGAGAGAGAGAGGCAACTATTGGTTGCCGCCCACATGACCCTGAGATGGGAGGCAGGACAGGGACGAAATCAAACCCATGACCCCTTGGTCTGCAGGGCCTTCGCTCTAATGGCTGAGCCAAACCTGCCAGGGCTGTAGTAATGATTCTTGATGTGGCTAACTACCCTAGTGGGATCATCTGTCGGTGCCTCTGTTCTGTCAGGATTGCTATTGTATCCTCTGCCTTAGCAAGCCTTTGTTCTTTTTTTTTTTTTAAACCAATTTATTTTTTATTGAATTTTTTAGAGTGACATTGGTTAATAAAATTATGTAAGTTTCAAGGTACTATTCTATAATACATCATCTGCATATTGTGTTGTGTGTTCACCACCCCAAAGCAAGCATTTGTTCTTAATGCCTACTTATGTACTTTATTATGATGTTTCTACAGGATCCAAAGATCCTTGCTTTCTGCTAAAGATCCCTAGTATCAAATCTGTGGGACTGAAGTATTGGTATTTTATTTCTTAGGACTTCATTACTATAACTTCACTATAAAAGAATATGTTTTCTCATTCTGGTAACTGTCTATTACCAGATGTATGAACCATTAATGGACTAGCAAAATTTTAAAATCATGAAATATTTTATTTATTTAAAACCAATTTGTATTGATTTTAGAGAGAGGAAAGGAGAGATAGAGAGAGAAACAGATTTGTTGCCTCCTGCATGTGCCTCAACCAGAATCGAATCTGCCACCTTTCGGTGTATGAGATGATGCTCCAACCAAGTCACACCAGCCGGGGTGGGGGTGGGGGGCGCATCTCTGCTTTCATGATAGTAGTGTATAGACACACACTTGATTAAAGTGTTACGATTTTGTGGAAGAAAGAGCTAACACGCTCTCTGGACATCTGAATTGTGGGCAAAGATGCTTTGAGTTGGATTGGTAGATTCACTTCCAGTGGTTAGATGTCCTGGTACACTTGTAGAGCTACTCAGAAAACCAAGCTTTAGTTTAAGGGAAGTTCAGGTAGTTTTTTAAGATTGATACTCCATTGCTACAAAAATGTATATTGGTCATTTATGCATGGCTTAAAGTTAAAAGTTTGATGACAGAAATACTCGAGATGTAAAAATTTATATTTTTTCAGTGTGTAGTAGTTTTAATAGTAGTCTTATAAAGGCATTAAGTCTTTTTATTAATCCTCACTTGAGGATATTTTTCATTGATTTTTAGGTAGAATGGAAGGGAAGGGGAGAGAGGATGGGTGGGGCGGGGGGAAGAGAAAGGAAAACATTGATGTGAGAGAGACACATCAGTTGGTTGCCCTCTGTATGACCCCGACTGGGGCTGGAGATCCAACCTGCAACCCAGGTATGTGCCCTTGATCGGGAATCAACCCTTTGGTCCACAGGCTGATGCTCCTAACTACTGAGCCAAACTGTCCAGGGCAAGGCATTAAGTCTTAATCTTTACTTCTTTTAAGGATTTTCCTGGTTTTTGCATTGTGTACTGCATGGTACTTATTAATGCTGATCTCCTCATAAGTTTCTATAAGATACTCCCATTTAGAACAATCCCAGGATGAGAAACTCCCTTCTAAACGTAATAGATACTTACCTAGAGAGTATAAACAGAGTTTGAAATATTGATTCGACAGAAAAGGACCAAATCCAAATTGGCTTGATGCTAGAGTTTCAAATACAGGCCTTTGCTTTGCTTTGATGTTTGAAACAGTCGGCCTTCTCTTGGCATTATTGATGTTTTCTTCTTGTCCCATTTTACAGGGAAGCACCACTGCCATTTGTGCCACAGGCCTTCGGAATCTGGGGAACACCTGTTTTATGAATGCCATCCTTCAGTCACTCAGGTAATGTGCTAGCCAGAGCTCAAGTATCTGATGTTAGTTTCTGGTGGAATGGTTAAGAGCAAAGGCTGTGGGGTCAGATCCTCTCTGCCATTGACTCTAGTCATATGGCTTGGGGCAAGTTACCTCAATTCCTTAGTTTCCTTATCAGTAAAATTGAGGATAATAATTTTACCTCACAGGGTAGTTGGTATGATTAAATAATGTAATTTCTTTAAAGTGCTTATTAGAAAAGTACCTAGCATTAAATAACTGCTAGCTATTATTATTTATTTTCTATTGCTCCTTGAATAGGCTAGAGCAGAGGCCAGCAAACTCTTTCTGTAAAAAGCCAGATTAAATAAATATTTTTTATCTTCACATGCTACATATAGTCTCTCACATATTCTTCTCCCCTCTATTTACCCCTTACTGGCCCAGGGCCAGATACAGTGTGTGGGCTGTAGTTTGCAGACTTCTGGGCTATAGTGAATCTTGTTCAGAAAACTTATTTGTATCAGTTGTCTTAAATGTAGTTATAAGATTGGATGTTTGGAAGATCTTCAGAATATAAGATAAGCAGTAAAAATAAAATGACTAAGAAGGCTGACCTAAGTTGTATAGAATAAATTATTTTGATTTTAATGAGCCATCAAAGGTCAGAATAAATTATCTTCCCAAGGCCACCTTGCTAATAAGGAGCAGAAGCCGTAGTTGATCTCTCCTTAAAGGTACTATTAGCTCATCCAGTTTGCTCAAAGAAGAAATTTAGTCACTACTGAATTCTTGTTATTCTTGTCTTAACTTGAGGAAAATCTTGACCACCTGGAAATAAGCACCCTGAAAAGAAAGAAATGGTGACAACTTGTAGATGTTGGGGGAGGGGAGACAGATATTTTGTTTTAAGATCCTTGTTCATTTCTACGAAGTCATCTATTTATACTGTTTTCTTGGAATAAAATGTGGAAACTTAATGAAAGTACTTAATGCACAGTCTACATTGAGTACAATTTTTCTTTTTATCCTCACCCGAGGACATTTTTTTATTTTTTGTTCAGATAGAGTGGGAGGGAGAGAGAGGAAGAGAGAGAGAGAGAAACATCGATGTGAAAGGTACACTTCGAGTGGCTGCCACCCACACGACCCAACCAGGGTCGGGGACAAACTGCAACCGAGGTACATGCCCTTAGCGGGAATCAAACCCGGGTCTCTCTGGACCTCAGGCCGATGCTCCAACCGCTGAGCCAAACCGGCCAGGGCTACATTGAGTACGATTTTAATGAAAAATTGAAAGATCACATTTTGGCACTTGTAGGTTTCATAGAACTTTCTTTATAGTCCTAGTAAATTAAAAAATAATAATTTTCTTCCCTTCCTTTTTAAATAGTAACATTGAACAGTTTTGCTGTTATTTCAAAGAACTGCCCGCTGTGGAGTTAAGGAATGGGAAGACAGCAGGAAGGCGAACATACCACACCAGGAGCCAAGGGGATAACAATGTGTGAGTTCTAAGAATATGTCCTTTCTGGCTTTGAGCTACAAAACAAATGACTCACTGGTGATTTCCATCGCATATGCGAGTTCATAGGCACATGCATTTTACAAAACTCTTCTAAAAACTGTGTTTAAGTATCTAGCTGATAATCTTAATAATTATAGGAATTCTTTTATATATACTTACTTAAAAGGCAGCATAAATTTAGCAGTCTACTTACTGTGTCATTGTGGATTTGGATATTCAAAAATTGATGTCAGTATATGAAATACAGCTCTAGGTGTAACCAGCACGAATATCACCAGTCTTTGTGAATTGACTTATCTGATAGTGTTAAGTAAACCTGTCTTGAATAATAAAATTAATTTGTAGTCATCAAATTAATTACAGGGGCGATACAGTCAATTTTTCATTGACATGAAGAGGGAAAAAATTGACAAGTGTTTATTGAGAACCAATATGTGTTCAGTGCCGGCATTCTCTATTTGGGGTTTAGAAGATCTATCCTATTATCACGATTGTAAGGGGCGCATTTTTTTTGTTTCTTACCATTACTGAAACGGCTAAGATTTATAATCTGCACATATTTTAATGTAATGTTTCCCCTGCCTGCCCATCTCCTCATCCCCACACATTTCAAAGAGTCATCTTATAATCTGGCACTGTTCTGCTTAGGTGGCTGATGGAGAATAGGCCAAAACATGGGGGAACTTGAAAGCCTGGCATTGGAGCAGGGATGGAATGATGTCACTAGAAGTGGTGTTTTAAGAGTTCACTTTGATAATAGCATATAGGATGAACTGGAAAACACCTGCATTCAAGGAGGCTTCATTCTCTATAGTAATTGGGTTGGAGGGGATAGCAGTGAAATGAAGAGGAAAAAAAATACATATGCACAGACCTCAAGGGAAGAATGAGTAGTACTTGATGCATTAATATCATATAGGGTCTAATTACAAACCACAGAAACTGCTTCTGGCCATCTTAGGCAGAAAAGGAATTTATTGAAGGTCTAATTGGTGTACTAACCATTACTGGATGGGTAGAAAATCAGGTCTGACGTCTGGGCATCCAGAACCAAAGCCACAATCACCTGAGGAACTTTCCCCTGAGGACATCACTGCTTCCCCTGCCAGGGCAACTCCAGGGCTCCCACTGCTGGACTGCTGGAGGGGTGCTGGGTGCTGGGTGCACTCCAGCTGATGCTCTTTGCCACTGGAGAGGATTTGGCACTGTTCCAGCTTCTTCGCATCACTAACACCTGCTTCAAATAGGCAAAACCCTGGCTCTGTACCTGAGTCCTGTCTGCAGGGGGTTGGAGGGATGGGCTGAGAAAGCAAGTATCTGGCCTTTCCAGTTTCCATAGTGCGAGGCAGGCTCTGACTCTCACCCAGACTCTTGAGGTGGGAAATTCCTCAAACATAAGCCCAGATACTAAGAAGCAAAACATATGCTTGTATCCCAGGAACCTGCTGGATAACAGGGGTTGAGGATTCCCTGAGATTGAGATATCCCTGAGATATCAGTTAGGTATCCATGAATATGGTAGTTATATTGACAGATAGTCATTAAAGTTGAGGGCGTATATCAGTTTAGTTACATGCACAGATTAACAGTGACTGAAACATTCATGGTTTTTTTTCTCATGCAAAAGATGGAGGTTATCCATCTAGGGCCGTTGCACTCAGTCTGCAAGCTCCTCCTAGCTCTTTGTCCCACCATTCCTGGGGTGGGGCTCTCAGCCATATAGTCCAGGATGGTGCTGGAGTGCCACCAGGTCATCCTCATTCCAGCCAGAAGGAAGAAGGGGAGATTAATAAGGACTATTTCTCTTTAAGGACATTTCTCAGAAGTTAAACACACTCATCAAAGTTTTCTATTCTAGGAGTTTATATGACAAGAAAAAAAAGGAAGTTCTGTATTCCTGTGGAGAAGAGAGTGGATACAGGGGGATTGCAGGGAGAGTACAGAGAGCAGGTTCAGGGCACGTTGAGGTTGAAGTGGCAAGAAGACGGCCAGTGGGAAATTCCTGTTGGAAGGTTGGAAAAACGTGAATAAAAGTGGTCATGAGTAAGCGTGGCTTTTAGATTTGGATTGTTGAGAGTCATTGGTATAGAGCCAAGTGTTGAAGCTTTGTGGTCAGATAGACTCTCTGAGGCAGAGGAACAGGTGGTCACATACCGAGGTCTGGGAAGTGCTCCTAGAGAGGGGCAAGGAGAAATGCAGAAATGGAGAACAGGATTCTGGTAATTGTTTTAAGTTTTTAAAAATGTATATTCTTACATAATTTGGTTTGTAACTTACTGCTTTATTGTACAATTATGGCAGTACTTTGGCACAAACTTTACCATATGATTACAAAACTGGTTTTGTCAGTAATTACTGCTATTTACATGGGTTTTTGAGATGCTCTTACTTAACTGTCAGACTTAGCTTAGAAGAGACCAGACCCTTTTATGATTTTATTTATTATGAATTTAAGACAACTGGACATAATGCATTGGGATAGTAGCCTCTCGTTAATGCTAAGGGTCTTGTCCCGTCCTCTTTTGCAGGTCGTTGGTGGAAGAGTTTAGAAAGACACTCTGTGCTTTATGGCAAGGTAGCCAAACTGCATTTAGCCCAGAATCCTTATTTTATGTTGTCTGGAAGATTATGCCGAATTTTAGGTAAGTATTATTTAATGAAAGACACTTAAAACATTAATATTAGTCCTTACACTGTTTTTGAAACAATTTCCAATGAAGTGGTGGTATTCTAAATAGGAAAGGCTGGTTCTGCTTTTTGCTTTTTTCAATAATTTTTCTTTTATTGATTTTAGAGAGAGAGGAAGGTAGAGAGAGAAACATCAATGAGAAAGAACATTGATTAGCCACCTCCTGCATGCCCCCCACTGGGGATCAAACCTGGGCATGTGCCCTGACTGGTAATCAAACTGGCGATCTCTTGGTGCATGGGTCAACGCTCAACCACGGAGCCACATCAGCTGGGCACTTTTGTTTGTTTGTTTTTTATTTTATTTTTTAATCCTCACTCGAGGATATTTTTCTATTTATTTTCAGACAGAGTGGGAGGGAGAGATAAAGAGAGAGGAAACATCAATGTGAGCGAGACATATCAATTGGTTGCCTCCCACATGACTCCAACCATGCCAGGGTCTGAACTGCAACCAAGGTACATGTCCTTGACCAGAATTGAACCTGAGACTCTTTGGTCCGAGGGCCGATGCTCTAACTGCTAAGCCAAACCAACCATGGATGCGTTTTGTTTTTTTAAAGAAGAACAGAAGTTGGATATATTTGACTATACAAATGTTTGTTTAAATAATAGATGTCAGGAATGTCTTGAACAAAGGGTAGGGTATTTTGTTGTTATAAAACAAACCCTTATAAATAATACAATATGCTCTAGGAAAACATACTGGACAAAATTGCCTTGAATCTTTCAAAATCTTATAAAGAATAATTAATATCATACACTGTCTTGTTATTTCAATTTTAAAAAGTCCACATGTAATCAGGAGAAGTCCATGGTATTGCATTCACAGTTCTGCTCTGGGTTCTGAAGGTCTTAGGAGACTGCAGTCAAGTCTGTCAGGACTCACTTTCCAGGAGGCAGCTGGGCCCCGTGCTGGTGTGGCTGTGGAGTCACTGTGCTCTCTGTGCTCACTGTCCAGCCTCCCTGGACTCTGCCTCTTCTCCTGGGTTAGTCACTCCTGTAGGGATTCAGGTAATAGCAGGTTGGAGGCACTGCGGGTATTCGACCACAGCCATTGCCACCTTCTGTTGATTTTATCCTGAAGCAATCATGGTTCTTACTCCTCATGATTTTCACATCTGATGTGCATCCCTTGTCTTTTCTAAAAAACAAAACCAGCATTCTGTAGTAAAACTTAGCATATATCTTGCTCTATTGCCTAATTGTGGTTTAGATATGTGGGTAGTATGGAGAAGTATTTAAAAGGTGAGAACTTCGCCTGGCTGGTGTGGCTCAGTGGATTGAGTGTTGTCCCATGGACTGAGGGGTCCCGGTTGGATTCCTGGTCAGGGCACGTGCTCAGGTTGCTGGCTCGATTCCCAGTAGGGGGCGTGCAGGAGGCAGCTGATTGATGTCTCTCACATCAATGTTTCTAGCTCTCTGTCCCTCTCTCTCTAAAAAAATCAATGAAAACATATTTTTAAAAAAGTTTAGAAAGCCCATTTTCCTTGACTAACATATATATGACAGTGTCTAGGGAATTGGCTCCCTTGGAATAAAATATGAAGATTCTGAAATATAAACATGTACATAAAAGTAAGGAAAACTTTCATTTATTAAGTAAATGCAGAAAAAAATACCCTTAAACAGCAGCTTTGGGTATAGAAACCATCAAAGGTATTTTTTTTTCTTTTCCCACTCAAGCAAAATACCAGTTATCCAGCAGGGAAATGATGCCTGAAGTTTTACCTTCCAACATATATGGTAGTTTCTCCTTATCACTTTTTATGGTTTCCATTATCTGCATGGTCCAAAAGCATTATTAAATGGAAAATCCAGAAATAAACCATTCCTAAGTTTTAAATTGCCTTCCATTCTGAGTAGCATAATGAAATCTTACTCCATCCTGCTCTGTCCCACCCAGGACGTGAATCATCCTTTGGTCCAGCATATCTTCACTCAGTATGCTCCCCACACAGTTAGTCACGTAGTAGCCGTCTTAATTATCAGGTCCACTGTCATGGTATCAAAGTGCTTGTGTTCGAGTCACCCTTATTTTACTTAATAATGTCTCATTTGCATAACTTATTACAGTGTTTTTATGATCTATTTTGTTAATTTCTTACTGTGCTTAATCTATAAATTAAAGTTTATGGTAAGTGTGTATGTATGGGGAAAAGCATAGTATGTAGAGGTCCATTACCTGCCCTCAGTTCCAGGTATCCACGGAGGGTCCTGGAGCATGTCCCCTGAGGATAAGAGGAGGACTGTGTATTTATTTACCACACTTCTTGTGGCTTCCCAGCATACCCAGCTTTTCCTGTCCTTTTCTATTTCATAAAAATATCTTACAGGTTTTTTCAAATAGACAAAATACAGGTGATTCAAAATTTTAAACAGGAAAAAAGGATATGCAGTGAAAGTTTTTCTTTTACTCTATTCCCCAGCTATTCGTTTTGCTTTTGGAAGTAACTGTAGTTACTAAATTATTGTGTATCCTTTCAGAGATATTCTGTGTGTGTATATACAAGCATGTATGTTTGTGTGTGTATAATTTTTAACATAAATGGTAACTTTTTTTCTACTTTGAGGTGATTCATATTAGTATATAAATAGCTTTCTCAGTCCATTTTATGACTGTACAATATTCTACTTTATGGTTGTATCATAATGTATGTAAGAGCCCCCTGCCAACGGGGACTCTTGTTTCTTACCTTGTGTCGCTCCAAACAGGGCTGCAGTGGATAGTCTCATTCATATATATGCATGTACCTAAAAGAGGAATTGCTGACTCAAAAGATAATGGCTTTCGTAATTTTGATAGTCTGCTAGCCTTTGCTTTCTTTAACATGATTTTGTCTTGTCGCCTCCATATCTTTGTCACGTGCTTCCTGATTGTACCACATTTGCCTTGTGGACACATCTCTTTTCTTAGGATCCAGCTAACACTCTTCCAGGAAAGTCTCTTGATAATTCAGATCAGGTCTGGTATTTATTCCCTTGCTTCTCATATCACTTAGGTGCTATTTCTACTTTCATGTATAATTTGATTTAATAAATTTGCCTTGGTTCCCAAAATAGAGTTTTCTTTATTTTTTATTTTTTGCATTTATCATGAGATAGATCGGGGGAGAGAGAGGGAGGAAGAGAGAGAAACATTGATGCTAGAGAGACACATCGAGTGGTCGCCACCCACACAACCCCACTAGGGCCGGGGACAAACCACAACCGAGGTACGTGCCCTTAGCGGGAACCGAACCCGGGACTCTCTGGTCCACGGGCCGATGCTCCAACTGCTAAGCCAAACCGGCCAGGGCTCTTTATTTTTTTTTAAATTAGATATTTTAATTAATATTTAAATGTGATGAGCAAATAAATTACTGAAACAGTATTCCTATATTTGCTGACTGTTCTACTTGGCTTTGTGGAAAACATAAAGATCTTTGTAAATAGGTCTTTAATTGTGATATTTTAACTTACAGTTATCTTTATGGGTTTTTGTTAATAGAGAAGTTTAACAAGTACTTTGCAGGATAGTTTATATTTAAACAATATTAGCTCTTCTAACTAGTAATTTTGCTGTTGTATTTTGTGTGTTTCTAAACAGGAAAAAATCATTTTTGAAATGTTCATCTTTCTGGCGTTTATGTCTGAATAAACTCAGTCACGATAGGTGCCACATACTGTATAGAAATAGCTAAATTTAACCAATTTTGGTTTTTCAGATAATTTGGACAAAACAATAATGTGGAATTCTTTTATGAATGTTAAAGATACTTTTAATTTGAACAGAACCTAAATTCTAGTGTGTCCTAGGTATTTTAGGAGAACTTTGTTCTAGAATGGTAAAATTTGACCCTGTTCCTTATTGGTCTTTGCCATGCTACACGTTATGTGCTGGCACTGTGAACACGCAGAGCACAGTTGGTAATGCCAGGTTGTGCTTCAGCTGTGAGTGTTGGGCCATCACGAAGTCCTTACGTGTGCACCTGTGGTGTCTGCTTTTCACACTCACGTCTGCTGCAAAGTAACATTTTTCTTTTCTTTTTTTTAAATTCTCACCCGAGGACATGCTTTTTTATTGATTTTAGAGAGAAAGGAAGGGAGGGGGAGAGAGAAAAAAGCGAACAAACATCGATGTGAGAGAAAAACATCTATTGGTTGCCCCCTGCACATGCCCTGCTCGGGAATCAAGCCCTTGGCTTTTCTGTGTAAGGTCAAGCCAGCTGAGCCGCTTCGGCCAGGGCAAAGTCACATTTTCTTTGGTCATTCTTAATTGGGGCATTTCTTTCTTTTTAAGATTTGGTAAGTATGGCTTGCCTCATTGTGCAGAGGTTGCTGTAAAGAGCCAGTTGTCCCCGAGTTCTTACACATTGTGTTTCAGCAGCGCTCCTCTTCTCAGCCCCTCGTTCAGGGATGGTCCATGATCTCTCAGGCTTTGTATATTTGCAGCGTGCTCCCCAACAATTGTTTCTCACAGCATCTTTATGACACAAATTTCCTGTAGACATGGAGGAGGAGGTCACCTTTAAGGTCAAACAAGGGACCATACGGAAGTGTTATTCCCCTCTGTCCTCTTTTCTCTCAGTTCTGCTCTGTCACAGATGCCAGCGGGTTCTTCATAAATCCATTTCCTCACTGACTCACAGACACTTGTTTGGGTGACACCAGTGAAATAATTTGTATACAAAACATAAATACTGCATTCAAATGTGAGGAGTGTTTCCTTTAACGTGATTACCAAACAAGAGAAACCTAAGTTGACTACAGAGGAAACTTTGAAGCCCAGATTATAAAATTGTCAAACAATTAAAGGTAAACTGAAGTTTATTGAATTTGACATACTACTTTTTTTTTTAATCCTCAACTGAAGATACTTTTTTTTCCCCCCAATCCTCACCTGAGGACATTTTTCCATTTTTTATTCAGATAGAGTGGGAGGGAGAGAGAGAAAGAAAGAGAAACATTGATGTGAGAGACACATCGATTGGTTGCCTCCTGCATGACCTCCACCTGGGCCAGGTATGTGCCCTTGACTGGGAATCGAGCCAAACCGGCCAGGGCGAATTTAACATGCTAAATAATATTTATTAAGACTTTCAGATAAGCCAATGAAAGGTTTTATTTAAATATTTAAAAATGGAATTGTAAGTGTCTTTTTAGTCAGAATCAGAAAAATTTCCTAGTCTTACAGCAACTTTTCTGGTAAAGATGACACATTGAACCAGAAACTTATAACTTAGCTTTATAAAACAGCTGTTTCATGATTTCATGTAGGTCAAAAATGTGTTTCTGATGATAAAAGAAACATTAGAATATAATGTATTTTGATAAAGGAAAAGAGAATCATGGTGTGGTTGGAAATATTCATTAATATACATTAGGAAGACATTTTTGTTAATCCTCACCTGAAGATATTTTTCTATTGAATTTTTTTAGACAGAGTGGAAAGGAAGGAGGGAGGGAGAGAGAGAGACAGAGACAGAGAAACATCAGTGTGAGAGACACAGCGATTGGTGGCCTCCTGCGTGACCCCCACCTGGGCCGGGGATCAAACCTGCAACCCTTCGGTCAGAGGGCCAATGCTCTACCCACCAAGCCAAACCAGCCAGGGTGGGATGGATATGTATTTGATGAAAATGCAAATACACGTACCTACAAGGTACTGACTGGGTTTTCATGATCCATTTTAGAAACATGATGATTAGATATCAGGTTATTTTGGTGAAAGAATTTTTTTTTATATGTGATAGAATTTCAGATATGTCCTAAAGTAGCTATATTACCTTTGAGTCATGAAAACAAAAAAGGAGGTTGTGTTGAAAAAGTTTAAAGTACTTTCTTAGATACATAAAGAACTATTAACTTTGAATACTTTTGACTCTTAACATTTTTATTCATATGAATCTTGGAATAAATACTTTAACACATTGATATTTAGTAGCTAAGTAGTTCAGAAAAAGTTATAGTGCAATGCTGAAGTGACTTCTGATTTAAGTTCCATTGATTAGGCAAATTATTTTCACAATTTCTTATTTCCAGGAGAAATTTCAGAAAAAGGAGGAAAACATAGATTGAGGGAAACTTTGGTTGAAAGAAATTTTGCTTTGAACCATTGCCTGGAAGAGTGGTGGAAGTTTTGACTCAAGACCAAACCAGAAAACCTTGAGATTTAGAGGGTAGATTAAAGAGAATTTACAATGCTGGAAAAATGTAGGCAGAAGTCTTTTTTATTTGCCGTTTTATGCAAGTATCTTGTATTTCATGCTTAATGTATCTATATAAACCTTTGTGACCTTCCAATTGTATCAGCTTTGTTTTCTGTCAGCCTTCATTTCTGTGTGCTTGTCATTGATCCAGTATAAAATTCCATATAATTTTCTATCTGACTACAGTGGAGAAGTAACCTGAGAATATGTTGCTATATGTATTCAAATTTTAGGATAGGGAATAATTGTGTATGAGTCAGTGCATTTTTTAAAGTATTTTTAAAATTTCTTTTGAATCAAGATTAGGATACAAGTCTAGAATATCAGATGGCTTTAACTGTTTATTTTGTTTAAATTCTCACCCGAGGATATTTTTTCTAGAGTAGGAGGGGGAAAAGGGGGAAAGGGGCGGGGGGAGAGAAACATTGGGGATATGAGACACATTGATTGGTTGCCTCCTGCAAGACCCCTACCAGGGCCGGGGATCGAACCTGCAACCTAGGTATGTGTCCTTGACCCGCAACTTGAACCCACGACTCTGTTCCACAGGCCAGTGCTCTAACCACTAGTGAAACCGGCCAGGGCAGATGCCTTTAACTTTTCAGATAATTTTTCTTTTTCTTTCAGCCAGTGTTTTAAAAAAAATTAGTATCTTTCAATCTAAAAATTAGTTTTAGATTCATTATTTCATATAATGGCGGTTTAGACTTACATTTATGGTAAGGTTAAGATGTGGAATTTTAACATTTGAGCATCTTCTAGAGGGGCCAGTAGGACAGTGGGAAGATTCAGAGTCCATCCCGGAGACAGACTTGGTTTACAGTCAGTCCCGTCTCTGAAGGACTTTAGGCAAATTACACCTCCACACCCCTTTTTGCCCCTAAATTTTTTTCATCTCTAAAGTGGGGTCAGTGGAGATCACTACAAGTTTAGTTAGCTCTAATAGTCCATGTTTTCAAACTTGCTTTTAAATAGTATAACTTTTTTTCCTTGTTGAGGAATTTTGTGTGTGAAACTTGGAGCAAGTGGGGATGAAAGGTCCAGGAGCCTTGCTGTGCTCTGAGCACAGGGCTGCCCAGCGCTTTTCCCTCCTGCCTGTTTGGCTGGGCACGTGGACCTTCCCTCCTGACGTGTTTCTGTTTGTTTCAGGGGCTATCAGCAGCAGGATGCCCATGAATTCATGCGCTACCTTTTGGACCACCTGCACTTGGAACTTCAGGGTGGTTTCAATGGTGTTTCTCGCTCAGCACTTCTGCAGGAGAATTCTACCCTGTCTGCAAGTAACAAATGTTGCATGTAAGATTTCGTTTCCGTTGGTGTTTAGGAGAACCTCAGACATTTCTGTTGGTGATACTGTTTGTTAGATTTATAGTGGAAGGTTGAGAGTTTTCCTTACCTTTGCTGAAAATGTTTGCACTTGAACTTTGTGACCAAGTTGACTGTCACATGCGTCCCATTTCCAGACCAGAGGCATCTTGTATTTGCATGGTGGTGTAGTTCTCATTGTTATTTGGTATAGATCATTTTAAAACTTGAAACGACAATGGAAAATATTTGTGCAATTTAGCACTTAAGAGTTTTCCTCCAAATGTACTGAATAATGGCTCAAAGACTTAATTTCCATATACCAAAATAATTATACTTGTTCACTAAAAACAATGGCTTAAAATATTTTGAATGTGAATTTTCCTAAAGTCTCATTTTGGACTTGAATTTTCTTAAATATATCTCTTTATTGAAATCGAAGAATCTGAAAGTTCTTGGAACTTTTTTCTTCCCTCTCTTTATGAACAAAACAAAACATTTGGATTGCTTTTCCAAGTACTAATACCCTAAAATACACATTGAGATTAGAACATTTATTTTGCTTGAAGCATAGAAGTCTTATATTTCAGCCTGGATATTGTAGTCTCCCTTTGTTCATAATTTTGAAAAGTTTTGTATTGACCTATACAGGAAAGGGGTATATAAGACAAACTCTCTGAAGAAAAAGTTGGAAATATATAGAGGTTACAGCAGCATGGCCTGGCAGTCCCTAAGTCTGATTTAGTAAGATAAGGTCTTTTCAATGACTGAAGACTCTCATAGCTGATCTGCCTATTAGAGAAGGTAACCAGTATGAATTACCATACAAAATCTCTGGTCTTCCAGGTCCTAATAGCCAGCACAGAATCCAGCACAGAAAGGGAGGGACTTATGACTGATAGAATTGTTCTTGCTGCTAGCACCAATTCAAAAATAGCATTAAATGAAAAATTCTGCTTTGCATTTTGACTTGATTAGTATTCTTTTCAGAGGTAGAAATATAATGGAAGAACTACATTGAGTTTAAATGTCCTGATTTGAAATAAAGCAGTTTCTCTTTAAATGAAAGACAGCATTGTATGTGAACATCAGTATGAAAGGATCAATCACAGTCCCTTTATTTTCAGTAGTTTTTAGGGGTGGGGGTTTGCCCTTTGTTCATGACACAGATACTAAACCTAAAACCTAAATGGCCATTGTGTTCTATGGTTCCCAATATATCTTTTCTTTTTGTTTAATTTCTAAATAAAAGCCACATATCTTGTGAACAACTTAAAAAAAAAAAAAAAAAAGCTGCAATATATTTCTTTTTTCAGTAAATGAAGGAAACCAAAGGAAGCAAACTTTTAACCTTTTGGACTTCAGCTTCCTTGTCTGTGAACTGGGGATAATGGTGTCTGCCTTGCAGTTGTGTGGGTTACCTGTGTTAATACATGGAAAGTCCTTAGACTACCATGTCACACGTGCTGTCGTAATAGGGCGCCTGCTAATCGTGCTCTCGCTGCTGCTTAGACTACCATGTCACACGTGCTGTCGTAATAGGGCGCCTGCTAATCATGCTCTCGCTGCTGCTTAGACTACCATGTCACACGTGCTGTCGTAATAGGGCGCCTGCTAATCGTGCTCTCGCTGCTGCACTTTCTCCGTCGTCCTAGTGCCCGTTCCCTGTCCGCACTGGGGCCTGCGTGCGGCTGTCAGAAAAAGTGAGGAACGGGTTCAAAATACGTACTGAAGGAAATACAAGCAAAAGGCAGATTATCCTAATTATTATGACAATAAAAAGCCCTTAACACACTTCAAGGTTTTTTTTAGTAAGCACATATCTAAAAGCACTGTACATACAGGACTCATTTCATCTTCACATCAGGCCTCTGCATAGATGGACATTATTCCTGTTTTACATTTGATGAAGCTGAGGCACCAAGAGGTTTACTAACATTTGGGCAGTTGGTGGTTCTTTTTGTTTTTAAATTAAATTAGTATATTCTTGATCTCCACAAATGCATTATTTATAGTATCATTTTAAGTGAGCTTTTTAAAAGGCTCGTTGACAGGAACATTCAGCACTTCAATTGTGAAGTCATACCTCCACCAGTAATTACTAAATAAGTATTAAGTTTTTTACTTTTTCCCTAAATCTGACAGATAACCATCTGAAAAATGGAAATCTATCTCCGAATGAAGTGGTGGTTCAAAGTAAAGTAATTGAGAGCTCCCTGTAAGATGAGAGGCCTTGCAAAGATTCAGATATAAGGCAGTTCTCTCTTTTCTTCGGGATAGAACTGTGGGGAAGGTGTCCTCTGGCCCTGTGCTAGGCAGTCACGTGATCATTTGTTAGGCACGTGTCCAGTGTCATTTACTTCTAGAGAAAGTAGTGGATTGGAAGAGGGCCAGGTTGAGGAGGCAGTTAAATCAATGGCTTAACCCTTTTATTCAGTATACATCTATATAGTTTAAGTTTTTGCATCATTTTGTAACTTTAATAAATATAAATTATTTTTGTTTTTACTGGGATGTTTTCCTCCATGATTCTCTTAGAAATGGAGCATCTACAGTTGTCACGGCTATATTTGGAGGCATTCTACAAAACGAGGTTAACTGCCTTATATGTGGGACAGAATCTAGAAAGTTTGATCCATTCCTAGGTAAGACATATTTGGTATGTGGGGATATATGCTATTGTAGTAAATAATTTTAATATTTCCTTTGAAAATTAAAACAGTGGAGATAAATCATTAAAAATACATCAATTTTTGAAATTACTTTTTGAGTTATGTGACTTTAACATCTGTTTTCCTATTTCCTTTAAGACCTTTCATTAGATATTCCAAGTCAGTTCAGAAATAAGCGCTCTAAGAATCAAGAAAATGGACCAGTTTGTTCATTACGAGGTAAGATACTAATGTTCTAGAATTATTTTTTTCCTCTGAAATACCTGAATATATCTGTAAGCTCCATCTCTGTGTACTGTGTTGTTAATTTAATGAATGTGTTATAACTTAAAAGTCAAACTTAGATGTTTTTCCTGCCCCCCAAAATTCTGTTTTATAAGAATTCCTGCCAGAGATAATAGGTCAAGCATAAAATATTTCTCGCTTTTCTTTTTTTAAAAGTGGAAGTCCATAACAAAACCTTTTCTGACTTAATGAAATATAGTTTATTCTAGGGATATCCCACTAGTATCTATAGGAAGAAAGAACACTCAGTAAAGTTTTATAAATTATAGTTTATTTATTTTGTATGATAAATAGTTTGAGAAATCTTATTTTTTTGTTTGTTTGTTTTTTTAATCTTCACCAGAGGACATTTTTCCATTTTTTTGTTCAGGTAGAGTGGGAGGGAGAGAGAGGAACAGAGAGAGAGAGAAACATCGATATGAAAGGAACACATTGAGTGGCTGCCACCCGCACAACCAACCAGGGCCGGGGACAAACTGCAACCGAGGTACGCGCCCTTAGCGGAAACCAAACCCGGGTCTCTCAGGACCGCAGGCCGATGCTCTAACCGCTGAACCAAACCAGCCAGGGCTTATTTTTTGTTGTTAATCCTCACCTGAGGATATCTTTCCACTGACTTTATTTTTAAATATGTTTTTATTGATTTTTTTTTTTTTTTTAGAGGGAGAGAAACATCAATCAGCTGCCTCCTGCATGCCCCCCCCACTGGGGATCGAGCCCACAACCCAGGCATGTGCCTGAACCAGGACCTCTCAGTCCATGGGACAATGCTCTTTCCACTGATTTTAGATAGAGTAGAAGGGAGAGAGAGACAGACACATCAATCGATCAATTGTCCTCCTCCTGCATGACCCTGACCAGGGCCAGGAATTGAACCTGTGACCCTTTGATCCAAGGGCCGACGCTCTAACTACTGAGACAAACTGGCCAGGTACTTTTAATTGTAAGAATATTAAAATTCAAATTTACTTTGCAAGATTTTGAACAACTCTTTTCCTTGATGAGTAAGTTTAACTACTTTAGTCAAGGTGAAAGACCTGTCCTTGACTAAACACTATAATGACTAATTGTCCTTATTATTCATAAAAGGAAAAAAAATACCTAGTATATGTTCTGTCATTAAGTAACTATATACTGAAGGCAAATAATGTAAATTCTGCCCTAAATTGTATGTTCACTAAAAGTAATCTCTTCTTCAGCTGTTTTGGGAGTATTGTCATAATTATAAATAGATATTTTTTCTTAAAAAACAAAAGATTCTAATGGTTGAAAACTGCATTGTCTTGTATGGCAAACATAGTCACATAAGGCTATTAAAATAAAATGTAAAATTCTCGCTCACTCACCTGCACTAGCCATATTTCAAGTGTTCACTAACCACGTGGCTAGTGGCTGCTGTGTTAGCACAGCTGTAGGACATTTCCGTCACTGCAGACAATTCTGCTGGACAGCGCTTCTCTAGAATCAAAGTCTCCTAGTAAACATGGAACTGTTGGGGAGGGGCAGGTTTCTCTGTCACAGGTGCATCGTGCTGAATTTGGCTTGTTAAAATAGGAACAGCAGAGGTCTTGCTTGTAGAACTGTTGTTCAGGTCATTCTGGAAATCTCCCAGGGGATTTGTCAGACACTGGACTACTCCCAGAAACAAAAGCAAACCAACTCTGTGTATTATAGATGCTTTCAGGTTGTTCCCACCTATGTAAGTGTTGTCTCTTTTGAACAGGGGTACAGAAAATATTTAAGGAAGCCCCCCATCCACTCCACTTCCTTTAAAATATATGGCTATGGTGTGTTTCTCCACAACTCTTTTTGCCCTATTTGAGATTGATTTTTTAAAAATATCGCAATATACTTGATATCAAGTATACTTTATATTTATAGCATGTGAGTACAGGTGAACTTAATCATAAAACAAACATTATTTGATCACTTAGAGGAAATCATTGAGAATTAAATTATTAAAGGAATAGAGAACCTAAAACTATATAATCTAAATTGGATTGACTTCATTTTGAAATTTCTTCAATAAGACCAGTAGTAATTCTGACATTAGTTTAAAAAAAAATACTGTTCCTTGATATAAATATGTGGATATATATTTAAATAAAATTTCCTAATAGTTAACAAAACCTAGTAAGTCCAGATGATCTTTGGTGGAAGCCCCAGAGACACTGGTTTACTCAGGCTCCTTCCTTTCCTTCTTTGCTGTGTTATCCCCATCCAGATTAGTCATGTACATGGTTCTTCACTGCTCTCGGTAGCCTTGCACTTACTGCTTATCCCAGAATGCTCTACAGCCTTCCTCTCTTGAGACCATCCTGGAGAGTGTATGACATAGCTTAGGGTGGTTGGTGCTACAAACAAGAAAAATGGTAAATGGGGATGATAAACTTGAAACATATTTGTAACATATATAAGAAAGAGTACTTGGGCAAAGCATATGAATAAGAAAAGATGCAAATGGTCAATTTAATATTTGAAAAATGTCTCACATTCAAGAAAGTATAAGTAAAGCAAAACTGGTCAAACATATAATATTCATTGTTAATGAAGTTTTGGAAAGTGAGCACTCTCATATTGGTGTTAGGTGTATAAATTGGTACAGTTGTTTTTGGAGGGTAGTGATCACCCTTTTTTAAAAATCCTCATCCAAGGATACTTTTCCATTTGTCTTCAGATAGAGTAGGAGGGAGGGAGAGAGAGACACACACATCGATTGGTTGCCTCCCACACGACTCCGACCAGGGCTGGGGACTGAACTGCAACTGAGGTATGTACCTTGACTGGAATAGAACCTGTGACTCTGGTTGGTGGGCTGACGCTCTAACCACTGATCCAAACTGGCCAGGGTGTGATCACCATTTTTTTTTTTCCTTTACTGATTTTAGAGAGAGAGGAAGGGAAAGGAAAAGAGATAGAAACATCGATGAGAGAGAACATTGACTGGTCTCCTCCTGCATGTCCTCTAGTGGGGATCAGGCCCACAACCTGGGCATGTGTCCTGACCAGGAATCGAACCGGTGACCTCTTGGTGCATGGGTCGACGCTCAACCACTGAGCCACACCGGCCAGGTGTGATCACCATTTTTAATAGGCATTTCCTCAGACATAGTAATTTCACTTGCAAATGGGGACAGTAACATATGCAAAAGTATTCATTGAAGCATTCTTTGTTATGGCAAAAAATCAGAAACAATTTATATGCCCAACAGTAGAGCATTGGTTCAGTAAATTATACTACGTAGCAATTAAGAAAGCTAAAGTTGATGAATGGCCCAGGCCACAGAAAGATAAATACAGAATATTGTAGAGTGAAACACTTACCATGGAAGTATGTATGTTGAATTAATCCATTTGTGTAAGATAAAAAAAAATTCATAGGTGCATTAAAATTCTTCAGCAGCATACACCATCTGTTCAGTGATTATCTTAGGGGAATGGCATTCAGGAAGAAATGGAATTGTGACTTTTTTGGTCTCCTTTATAGTGCTTGAATTTTTTAACCTACTGTGTCACCTTTCTAATTAGGTATTTATTTGGGGGGAGCAAAAAAATGTGGATTAATTCATGCATACTTCCCAATTACTGCTTTGCTAAACTAACTTTACATAATACATAAATGTGATCTAATAACTTCAACAAACCAGTTTTATTCGTTGCTTTCCAGAGGGATACTATTTAACAGTTATTATAATGTAGAAGACTGACAGTTGTGAAATATATGACCTGAAACCTTTGAGAATCTTAGGAGTTTCAAAAACCACCATGGGCTCCCCTCCCCCCCTTAAATACAAATGAAAATTGTAAGCAGCTTCCTGAGATCCTTAAAGAGAGCTGTGAAGGTCAGTAGAGAACAACAAAGCTTTTGCCGTGTACCTACTGGAGACAATTCACTGGCTGTGTGATTCACTCACTTCCATATGTGAGCTTTGAGGTGAAATTCATATTTGTGCTGCTGCAAAATATTGTAGTACATTTCAGGGTCAGACTTTTCAGATATTTAAAATAGCAATTGTCAAATCTATGAATGTCAAGGATATGCTGTATCTAGGCAATCTTCCTCTTAAAGAAATATGTGTGTGGATGTGTTTCAATAATAGTTTTCCTTATTACCAAGAAAGAAAATTCAAAAGAGTGCAAAGAGGAAAATAAACATTTCTTCCTTATAAGCCTACTGTCCAGAAATACCATGGTTAAGGATGTTTTTGTTTAAAAACCAATTTAGAAGATGTTTTATAAAAGGGCAGAAGTTAGAACTTTTTAGGAAAACAGCTTTTTAAAAAAACCATAGAAACCATTACAAATGGGCATTAGGTTTTCAGGAGAGCTTAAGAAGCTTTTAAAAACCCAGGAGGAGGACTGGGTAGTTCTCCACCAGCTTAACTAGGGTGTATGATGTTGCTTCTTTATTAAAACTCCCTGGAGGCCACACTCGGCCAAACCAGCCTTCTGACCAGAAGCATTGTGGCTGCTGAGCCTGCTGCAGGGAGAGATGTGAAAACAGAAAGATGGCTCCTAGAGGCAGCTGGACCATCATTTCTTAAATTGAGTGTTTGAAAAATCAGGCTCAGCTTGTATTGCTTGTTTGTGAATCGTCTAATGGGCCTTTCATTCCATCTTGGTTTATCACATGGCCTCACGTGAAAAGGAGGAAAGTCGGCACTATCTTGTGTGTAAATTGGCTATGGGACCACTTTGTGGTCACTCACCCTGTTAGTTTTAGGACTCTTTAAAAGGTAGGAAGTTGCCTGGCCGGTGTGGCTCAGTAGTTGAGCTTCAACCCATGCACCCAGAGGTCACTGGGTTTGATTCCTGGTCAGGGCACATGCCCAGGTTGTGGGCCCGTCCCCAGTGGGGGGGCATGCAGGAGGCAGCCAATTGATGTTCTTATCTCTCTCAAAATCAATATCAATAAAGACAAAAAAAAGGTAGGA